CTGACTACAGGAAGCCCGAGGCAGAGTTGCTCTGCCCTGGGCTTCCTGGAATCAGCTGCTGATCAGTTTCAGCAGCAGCTGACTTGGGGACGCCTGGTGTTGTTACCTTGAATCTGTATGTAAGTGGAACTGGTGTCCAGATTCAGCAGCTGTTGAAACTGATCAGTTTCAGCAACAGCTGATGCCAGTTCCGACTTACATACAGATTAGGAAGCCCGAGGCAGAGTTGCTCTGCCCTGGGCTTCCTGGAATCAGCTGCTGATCAGTTTCAGCAGCAGCTGACTTGGGGACGCCTGGTGTTGTTACCTTGAATCTGTATGTAAGTGGAACTGGTGTCCAGATTCAGCAGCTGTTGAAACTGATCAGTTTCAGCAACAGCTGATGCCAGTTCCGACTTACATACAGATTCAACTTAAGAACAAACCTACAGTCCCTATCTTGTACGTAACCCGGGGACTGCCTGTATAGCCAATGTCAATGCTTCAGAAGAGGAATAACCCAACCTCCCTGCTTGTTCAGTACTCTATCACAGGGTAAGTTCTTCTTAACTCTAGTGATGACCATGTCTAATATCCTGGGTACTAATATGCTTTGCATAATATATCCCTGCTAATATAACTTCAGGATGCTATTATTGTATCAATAACACAATTACAGTTACCATTAATAAAATAATGACAATAACATATTAATATTTTGTACATATATATCACTCTTCACGTGAAGATATGAAAACATGAATGTAAAGGGGCTCGGGTGAAAACGCTGGCCCTACTACAGTCAATGGCAACATTCCTAATAATGTCAGATGGGCCAGGATTTCATCTTTGGTTTACAGCTCCTCTTAGTCTCCATTTCTTAAAAATCAAACCCATGTGGATCATGCTAAAAATAAGGTGACTTAATACCATGAATGTAACTCATCATGTCATTCTCATCTCTATGGCTATGTCTACACAGCAGTGTTACTGCGGAATAACTGACATTATTCCGAAATAACACAGTCTGCATCTACACTACAAGCAGTTATTTCGATATAATGTCAAAATAATGTTGTGCTGGAGGACTTCGTTCTCTGACTCCTGTAACCCTAGTTTTATGAGGAGTAAGGGCAGTTGGAAGAAGAGTGTTCTAACTCACACTTCCTGCTGTGTAGACAGTGCCAAAGCTGAAATAAGCTATTTCGACTTAAGCAACGCGACTGATGTAGCTCAAGTAGCATAGCTTATTTCGCTTTTGCCCTGCTGTGTAGACATGCCCTAAGTGTTGCTGTTCCAGAGCATATAGGACTGGGAACTTTCCTTAGAAAAGTTATAAAAAGGATTTTTACTTGCTTATTTTGCATACTGTATATCAAGCAAACAATACTACAGCCCTAGATATTTTCTGCTGTGTGTTCATAGTCATATTAATTGAGCGTTTCAGTGTTTTTGACAAATGACTCCCTACAATGTGTGTATATATATTTCTATAACTCAGTGCATTTAACTTCATCACTTCTGAAAACTTTTAGATTTTTTTTAAAGTTTATCCTAAAGCACAAAAGCCACACAAACAACCCCCAATCAGTAATATATTCAGTGAATTTAGTCCCATTCTGCGCAGAGTATCTGTGAGAAGATAATGATTTCCTTGAATGCATGTATTTTATGAAGGAATTCAATGGCTATCTTTCTGAGTATTTCATTCTACTGAGTGAATAGAAATATTTAAAAATCAAGCTGTGCTGCTTAGTTGTAACAGATCAGATATGTCACATAGCATTATTTCTGGTTGTTTCTTTTCCCTATGATGATGAAGACACAAACATTGCTGGCAGGAGAATTTAAAATTCAATCCTGTCAATATTCAAGATTATAATTGTGAAATTTGCTTTCTGCAGATACCTGTGCCGGTATCTGAATTTTCACAGAAAGTGAATAAAAGGGACACAAGTCACAATAAAACATATTGATATGCCATAAGTAAGGATATTCATTATGACCACCACACACAAGAAATTCCAACAAAGCAAGTGAGAAAGTCTGTTACTTGCTTTAAGCACAAATACTTAGCAATAGAGAGAAAAGGTTTGGAATAAATAGGAACTACATAATTCACCCAGACCTTTATCCAAAATTCAAACTGAATACAAAATAAAGCTTTCCTGTAGTGTGTGAATGTATGTTTTTTCGTTATTGGGTATTTTTTCCATTTCCTATGCAAGTGGGATTTTGAATTAATACTGAATGCTGAGAAAGCACGGTAAAGAATTCTATTGATATTGCTGATCTGACTAAAAGCAAGAGATACCAGAAATCTCACTAGAGACTTTTGCAACTCCAAAAAGTTGATTTAGCTGGAGAAAAAGCTCTGAACTATTGTCTCTCCTTAGAAAAGGCTTGTATCTTTTTGGAGGGAGGTTCTTAATCACAAAAGCACTGAGTGTGGGGCCTTGGCATCCACAGACCATAGGTATCACAAATGTTTTTTGCATTTCCCTTCCAGTAAAGTTCAATGCAACTCCATGATGTTTCTTGGGAGAGTGAAAGCAATCAAGTAAAACTAAGTATTTTAATGGGTCTGCTAGGGAAATGAATAATAAACCTGAGCATACAAAAATGCCAGAATATGCAATTGGTAGTTACCTGCTTCAATGGCATGTTTGATGATATGAGGTCAGGTGTCACCAGTGTGTTTTTTCATTCCTTTCTTTTTGAAAAATGGGGCATTTTCCTGCTGTTTTTATGCACATTCTCAAGTAAGTGAATGCATGTGTACAAAATCCAGGAGTGGACAGCAACAGCCACAAGTTCTCCCACAAACGAATATGCAACTAGAAATGGTTCCAGAGCCGAAAAATATCTTCCCTTAATTCCTATTCCATCCTCTCCTGAATCTTACCTTTGTGAGAAGACATCTCTGTAGGGACTGCCGTGCTGAAGTGCAATTCCATAGCCCCTGTCTGCGACAGTGTTCCCAACGGTGTAAAAGGAGCAGTCTGGGTCATTGATGGCCACATATTCCAGTACTGCTGCATCCCACACAAAAGCATAGTTCCCATACTTCACCTGCAGCAAATAGAAAAAGTTAAAGTTGCAACTTGTCAACTCCAAAACAAGGCAATTGTGGCCAAAAAATGTCATCTGTGCTGTCATTTGATTAAAATGTGTCCATACAAACCATTGTTGCTACCATTGTTATATAATTGCAATAAAATGTATACCAGATATGATACATGGCCAGAAAGGGTTAAGTATCCTGCAGGCTAAGAAACCCAGAGTCAACCTGTAGAGACTTGCATGTTCAAAAGTTTCAGAGGGGTAGCCGTGTTAGTCTGTAACTGATTTTTTTTTAAAAAATAACGAATAGTGCTGCAGCACCTTAGAGACTAATACAAAATGTGGATATAGTATCATGAGCTTTTGCGGGCACAACCCATCTGAAGAAGCCACTATCAGTCAACTGCAGTTCTTGCTGGCCGCAGATCACTGTTCGCGGCCAATGGGAGCAGCAGGAAGAGGTAAGGTCTGGGACACTGCTTCTTCCCGCTCACATGGGCCGCGAACGATGATCCACGGCCAGTGAGAGCTGCAATTGTCTGATGCCTGCAGAGGTGCAGGTGAACAATAGAGGTGGGGCCCACAGGGTTATTAACCCTGTGGACTGGATCCAGCCCACAGGCCCACTCCTGGTCTAAGGACACTGGCCTGGAAATGATCCTGATCCTTTTTATGTCAGATCTGCTTAAATTTCATCAGGGGAAGTTTGAGCCACAAGACAGTAAGCTCCAGGCCTCCCTTGTTTCACCCAGAGTACAAACATCAGATTATAATTTATGGATTATTTTTATAAGAACTCTTTGTAACTACAAACCTAATTCTGAAAGAACTGTTTGCAACTACAAATCTCATCATCTCTACTACTGTGAATCTGATCTCAGACCTGTACTCATGTCTGTCTGTATACTGATCTTTTAACCAATACTCTCTCCCTTTTGGTTCCTAATCAATTTTAGTTTAGTTAATAAGAATTGGCTATAAGTAGGAATTTTGGTAAGATCTAAAATATTAATTAACCTTTCGGGTAGCGTGTCCTATCCTTTAGGATTGGTAGAACTGTCTTATATGATGAATAGATAGTCAATAATCATAATCATATTTTACTTATGTATCCAGTGGAAACCTAAGGCAGGGTTGCTTTAAGGGAACTATGTTGTTGGTTTCTGCCTAAACAGTGAGGTATTATAGAATTTGCGGTGTGCTAGGTTGGTAAATCTAAGAAGTATCGAAATAACCACCAGCATTGTGTATTGGCTGCCCCATTTTTTGCAGTTCACCCTAATTTGGTGACTTCAGTTGGCTTGCATTGGGACCCTGATTACAACATCTGAAGGCTGTTTGATTAAAAAAATGTGAGGTTTCAGTCCAGTTCCCAAAAGATAAGTATCCATATCCCAGACCCCTCAGCTACAATTGATGTTGGTTGGTACTTTTGTTTGTGGACACAGCAGAGATGCTAAGAATTAATTGTGAATTGAAAATAATTTTCCCTCAGGGATAAGGAATGCTGGTGGAGAAGTTGGAAAAAACTTGCACTATTTCTGTTTAGTATATAACTGGAGGACTTCAGTCACTTGTGCTACATTCACACTGTGTAGATGTATGAGAAAATCAGTGCATTGCTTCTTTTACTCCCTTCACACTTTTGACTATCTCTCTGGTCCTAATGAAAAGATAATTTTATGGTGAAAGCAAAGGACTGAAACTGAAGAGATCTGTCATAGGTTTTCAGCTCTGCCACAATTTCTATGTATGACCTTGGATATGACACTTGGTAACAGATTTTAAAAAACACACACACACATTTCTCGTATTTGGATACTAACATGAAGTGGCCAGATTTTCAGAAGTGCTCAAAGGGAGCAGCTGGGTTCTGAGCACTTTTAAAAATCTATTTATCTCTGTCTTAATTCCATATCTGTAAAATGGGAATAGAGTTCCCTGCCTCATGACAATAAATTTATTAATACCCGAGGTGAGGTGCTCAGAAGCTGTGGTGATTAGAATCAGATAAATATCTAGATAGAAAATTTGCTTCAGTGACCCTGACTACAAGACTCTTTTAAAGAGAAGCATTGCTCTAAAGATATATTTTCCCTGCATTTCAAAAAACCTGTAGCAGTTTTGTGTTTCATTATGAAGACTGACGTTGACTGATATATTATAATACCATACCAATGAAAGCTTCGCTTAGACCACATTAATGGAAATATTTCTTCCTTGTGTTAGATTAATGAAAAATTATATGCCTTGCCCATCCTACTATTACAACTTCTAGGTTGTAGGCAAAACTTATATGGGCAGTTCATGCAACCTATTTTACTAATTACTGCAGCTGTGTTAATACACCTTTCTTGGCCAAAGTTTTTGCCAAACTATTACATGATTTTGTTTCTGACGATTATTTTATCTTCAAGGATACCAGAAGTATCCTTGACTAGTCCTGGTGTTTCTGGTGTTACTTTATAAGCTTTTGTTGGCTATGTGACGGGGAATCACCAGAATTGTGACTGAATCTGCAATTGTATTTGCCATTCAGACACAAAAATCTTTGTTTAACTGACAGTACACATCATTCTTCTCACCAGCAGCACTATAAATACTAAGTAACCCACTTGTCCAAAGAGTGAATGGAACCGGCACATATAATATAATTAACTTTACCTGGGGAGGAACATACATTCTGCCCCACTCTTCAGCTGGATCCATACCATGAACTGATCTAGTGCTTTTCTACACAAGAACTCAGCAGCAGATGAACTTAAAGCTGTGTGGATACTCTTATTTTGGATTATAACATGTTTATTTTGGTTTACCGAAGTAAATTAGAAAAAGCTTTAACTAATCTGAAACAATTTAGACCAAAATAAGAGGGTTTGCACTTGCTTAATTAAAATAGAAAAAAAGCCCACCCTTTAAATTTAAATTAGACTGCCACCATTTTGGGATGTAAAAAAAGGCTATAGTATCTAAACACAAATATTAGCCCTATAAGGAGAGAATACATCTTCTCATATCTACCAGTATAGCAACTTCTTACATTAAATTACACACAAAAACCATGATAATGCAAGGTCCCCAGTTTTAAAAAAAGCAAACAGAACCCAGCCCCATAAATTCCGTCATGTGGCACCATACTGACACCCACACAGTTCATAGTAGGGTTGGAACCTAAAGATATGACCTTTGCCACTAAGAGCTAAAGGAGTAACGGGTAGCAATAAGCTGTTATCATCCTCTATGTAAATCAGTGCTCAGGAAGATGAGAAAAATACTTTGGCAGGGGGTTTCATAGCTATTTGCTTACAGCAGAGGAATGATGAAATTCAGACATTCTGGGTTCCATTCCAGGGTCTGGAAGAGATTACTGAAAACTGGGACACTTGAATAATCAGAGGATCAGAGAGCTGGCAGTGCTCAGCATCCTTCTCCAGTGATGGCAACCTGGCACACAGGGTCACAGTGCTGCTAAGATTAGGCCCAGCTGTTCTTACATTATGATGGCAGGGGGCCAGCCTGGCCAAATATGAGTGAGTGGCATTGCAACCCCATGCACCAAGTCACAACACTACTCTCATACATTTGGCATGGACAGCCCCACCATCAGGTCAATGCAGGGAGCCAAACCCAGCCAGCCTGGCAGGAGAAGAGATGAGGTGTGGTTGGTGTTACCTTCCCCACCAAATACTAGCTCCCTGACATATCCTCTGCCCTGTAGTCGGGTGACACCCTGGTTTCCATCTCCCCCACGCTGTTTCCCAGTCTGGGCCCCTTGATGTACCCCCTACCTGAAAGCTGTGCAACTTTCCCTCTGTCATATACCACTCTGATCTTCCCCCACTACTACCCACAGCCCCTTCTGCCTCCAACTTCTGTCCCTAGCCTTCCCACATAGCCCAAAGATCCCAAGTCCCTTCCTATGGGTCAAGAGAAGGACTGTATGTTTTTGAGGAGTTATCAGCTTGTCACTCCCCAACCACTCTGCCCTTATATATCCTTTTCCTCTCCCATTTCATTCTCCCACCTTTCAGTTCATTCCCCAGCAACCCTCAAACCACCATTTGCTGCCTCACTACATCCCATGTCTCCTGGCCCATCCCATGTCACCCAATTCATCTCCAGGACCCCAAATCCCTCCTGCCCCTTACTCTGACCCCTATGGGCCATGGAGGGACTGTGTGTTTGGGGAGTCACTTGGCTTACCACCCCTTCCCCCAGTTGTCATGAGGTGGTTCCCAAGCTGTTAACATTTGGCCTTAGCATTTGGAATCTTAGCTCAGCGCCTCCACCCCAAGCCTCTGATAGACTCCTGGGGAGAGGAGGGGTTTCTCCCTTATCAGGTCTTGGAACTTTTTTTATAAGTCTCTGGGTTGTGATAGTCCAGCACAGCTCTAGTGGACACAGACTCTTCTCCCCATATTCCCAAGCTTCACTGATTCTGTCTCAGCCCCTCCAGCTTGGTCCTTTCACAGCCTGACTCTTCTCCATCCCTGGATTTTTTCCCAGTTTCCTCACCTAGCTAGTCCCAGTCTGCTCTTCAGGCTTGATTCCATTTCCAGTCTCCTTGCCCCTCTGCACTCTTCTTCCCAGTGCCCTTCTGCCTACTCTCACTCATTCTTCCTCATTCCCAGTCTCTTTGCCCAACCAAAATCAGTTTCCCCTTCCTCTTAGTTCTTTATCCCCCTCAATCTCCTTGTCCAGATCTCCTGCTCCAGCTCCTTGTCTGATACCGCTCCCAACTTCATTTATGTTCACAGTCCCCCACTGGCTCCTGGTTCCAATCTGCCTGCCTAAATGCCTCATCCCAATCTCTGTATCTCCCATAGGTGCCAACTATGGCTCTAGCCAGTGGCACTTGACATCCCCCTCTGCCTCAGGTCGCACCCCATTCCACCCCTTCCCCCAAGTCCTATCCCTTTTCTACCCTGCCCCCACATTCAACCCTTCCCAACAGCCTCTGCTCCTATCTCATCTCTTCTCCCAAGCATACCCACTCTTCCCCCTCCCTC